AAAAAAAAAAAAAAAAAAAAAATTTTTATTCAATATGCCATGAATGAGTTACTAAAAAGGGAACATTTAACCGAAAGTAGAAGTTACAATAAAAATGAATTTTTTTTCGGGTCATATTTTTTCCGATGCACTGATCTGCATCATACCAAATTCTAAAAAAAGTTTTCTATTGAATCAGATTGGTCAACTATATTTTAAACTTTATACATTATTTATCTTATAATTTTATTAAGTTAATATTATAAAATAATATAGAAAAAAATGGTTCTTTTAAAGAAAAGAAACTTTTGATGCCAAAATTATGCAAATTTACTGATTAAAATTAGAGATAAAGTTGTGTAATAAGGCAAAATTCGTCAAAAAAATATACACTTTTTCACTATTGGTATATTTAGAAGAAAATTTTTTAATTTACATGGGGTGTTCATAAACGTATCACGTGACTTTATAAAAAGTTAATGTAAAAAAAATTTTTTAATTAATATAATTTTAAAGAATATGCAATCTCTGTGTTTTTATCTAGTCTGCAAGTTTACTTAAAGCGTCAAAGTTGATTTTGAATGTTAATTTTGATTTATTTAACAAATTCTTTTTTTTTCCGTTTTTGTTAGATTTAATTCTGCCCAACATTAAATGATCAGCATATAAAATTTACTTTTTTGGAAACCCGTGTTTAAACACCATGTACAAATAGAAATTGCCTATTTAGAAATATTCAAAAAATAAAAACTACATTATTAAATATTACTTTTTAAATTACAAAGTTATAAATAGTAGGAAGACAACTATTTTATTAAAATTTTACATTTATATCTTTTAAAATAAATTCAAGATGACAATAATAAATTTTTAAAAATTCTTAACATAGGGGATATGACCTTGATTCAGTAGACATACGATGTATTTTAATATCCTATTATTTAAATAAACTTAATTAAAAGCTCTATTTACTAAGTAGAATCTAAATAAAAAAAATGTTAATTTTAAAAATAAATAAACTTAGTTTTTGAAAAATTTTTAAGATTATTAGAAACATTTATCTGCATGTTCTTCAATGAAATTGGTAGACAAATGGGTAATAATTGAATATTTTTACAAATAAAACTAATAAAATTTATTATATAGGTGTACAAAAATTGTTATAATTGTAATAATTACATTCAATAGTAATTTTTTTATGTTCTCAGAAATTTGATGATACATAGTATAATAAATGATTATTATAAATTAAGAATCCTGTTATACTCACAAATATACTTACAAATACACAAATATGTAGTATTAAAAAAAGAATTGGGAATTACTAACCGTTGCCTGGGCGATTGTCGCATGGGTGATTGTCGCCCGGCCTGGGTTTTTTCCAAATATGTCACATGATGTACAATATATAAGTAAATTTATTGATCAGCCAGCTGATGGCTGATTTTTTTAACTTAGCTAATTTTTGATCAGTTAAACTTAAAATTTTATTTGCGAAGATTTTTTAAAAAATTTTTTTGCAAACATATTTATTCAAAATAATCTAATTTAATGAAATTTTATTTGCAAATATTAACATTTAAGTCACACATTTACGATTTTAAAGAAAAAAATCACCATATTTATTTTTAATGAAGTGATACAAATAAAAAACAATAACAATAAATAAAAAGATAAGTAAATTACAATGATCAAGGAGAAAGATGCTAATAAAAAAATTAAATAACAATGGAGTAATGGAAAGTAATAGAAGATGAAAGGGAGTGAAAAGAGTAATGAGAAGTGATAGGAAACAAAAAGGAGAAATAGTACATGATGGGAGACGAAAAGAAGTGATGAGAGATGAGAAGAAGTAATGGGAGACGAAGAGGAGTGATAAGAGACAAAAAGAAATGATGGGAAGTAAACAGAGAGAAAAAGATATAATAGAAAATAATGGGAGACGAAACGATGGAATAATGAGAAGTAATATAAAAAAATAAAAAAATGATCATGATAGGAGATTGGGTAATGATAGGAAACCAAGTAAAAATAAAACCATAAAGTAAAAAAAAAATGAAGTTAGTAAGAAACGAAATATAAGATAGAAACGAAATAAAAAAAAATAAAAAAATGAGAAAATCAACTGAACCTTAATTGCAGAACCGGAAGGACTAAAGGACCTAAAAATAATAAAATAGAGTTAGTAAGAAACGAAGTGTAAGCAGAATGTAGGTTAGAAATAAAAATAAAAGAAAAGAACAATACCTTGAGACCGAAAGAACCGATAAACAAATAAACATAACGCGATCATGTGGCCAATCTGGCCAATCAAAAATATTGAATCTGTCACGTGATCGAAGACAGGCGATGATCCCAGGCGACGTTTAGCAATTCCCTAAATTAAATCTACTATTTTTGTTAAAAATAGATGTCAAAATTACAATAAATGAATCCTGAATTTAAATTGGCCTATGTGCTATTACGTCATTCTAATTTTTATATATTAATTAAATTTGAGAAAAAAAAAAAAATTTAATGGCAAATAAGATTATAGGCATGTTTTATTATCCATCATTAACGTAAACAACCATAATGCAGATCAATGAAATATAGCCCGAAGAAGAATAAAAATCAACCGATAAAAATTCGCCATAACAAATACTGTAAACGTAAACAAGAGTTCATGTTTAAAGGGGAATTAGGTAAAATATACAAAATGTGATTTATTTTTAACTTGTTAATTTCTAATAAAATCATGAAATTCGAATTTATAATAAATACTTCTAACTATAATTATGCAAATTTTTTAGTATCTTAATTTTATCATACCTTCAGAATTGTTATTTTTTATGCAAGCAGTGAAAGGAGATTTTTTTTATTTATATGAAAAAGTTCTATATAAAATTTACATGGATCCAACATGGGTTTTATGTAAATGTGTAAAATATGTCTATGTAGATTTTTTAATTAAAATTCAAACATATTTCATATAGTTTAAATATTAAAGTATTTAATAATATAAATTATAAATTCAGTTTACTTAGAAAATGTATTTATACAAATATTTTATAGTTAAACTGTTTTGAACGTAATACAAATCACATTGGTAATCACGTGAAATTATCAATGAATTTCAATTTTGATGTAAAAATAATTGATTTTTGTTTTTTTTTGGATTATTATCATCTCGATGATTTTTTGTTTTTCATTCTTGTATCTTATCTTTAGGGTTCTTTTAGCACTTTTAATTTTTCAATTGATGCCGATATTGATCACTTTTTTTTTAAACCACAAAATGTTCGTGAAATTTATTTTAATTTACTTATTATTTATTTTGTATAAGACTAATTTTAACCCAAGGTGATTTAACCTGGGTGATTTAACCTATTAGTGAATTTTACATAATTATATAATTTTACAAAAAAAAATGCAAATTATGATTACAATAAAAATGTCAAAAATATAAGAAAAAATTGGTCAATTATACTCTATAATATCCAAATAAATAAAATCTTTACAAAGTGAAATGAATAATAACACAAATAAATTTTTTTTTTTAAAAAAAAATATTGATATAAATATAAATTTTAGGGGGTGATTTAACCCAGGTTATTTACCCCTAGCAAAACTCTCTTTTTTTTTATATTTAAAATCCTGATAGATAGCCGTGAAATCCCTAATTTTAGTTTAAAATAGCTAAAAAAGTTAATCACATGTTATATTTAATGAGTGATACGGCTGATACGCTCCAAATTTAGCAACAAGAAAATTGCATTTATTATTTCAAATTAAACAATTCCAAATTTCTAAAATTAAAATTCTCTCTTGATTAGAATTTAACCTCTAGAATGGATTGAATATGATAACTAGATTTGAAAAAATTACTAGTTAAAAATGTTTAACTGTTACTATACAGTATAAAAACATAAATAGTGTTAATCTGATATAACATTTTAATTTTACTAACAATTTTTGTTTTTAAGATTTTGATGGTTAAAATCATATTTGAATAAATCATCATTAGGTTTGAGAAAATATTATATCGCGTAAAAGTTTAGCTTAATTTTAATTTCGCATGTCGTCATATGAATTAATTTATTTATTCGTAATAATTATTTTTTTTTTTTTACTAAATTCATAAATAATTATTGCTTATTTGCATTTCTTAAACATAGAATCAACAGTATTAACGTACTGTTAATGATTTTTTTTTTATTTTTTTGAAAAATTTATATTGAAAGTTAAGTTTTTTGAACTTTGTGTTATTCTCTTAAATTTTTATATGAATAAACAGAGAACAAATTTTATTTTATCAAATAACTTTATAAACTTAATTTCTCGATGCAGTGGCTAAAAAGAAATACTAGCCACATGATTAAGTAATGCAATGGTTTCCTTTGTTTATTGACAATGACACAATAGCGATTGCTTTCTACGTTTATTTAATACAGTAGTTTTCTGATCTTCCTTATCGAATAAAAAAACCTTGTAGAAGTGACCATTGTGCAGACTTTCAGGTAGGAAATGTTAAACCAACTTTCAATTCCAAAAATAAATTTAATATTGATTTAAATTCTTAAAGATTATCTTCGCCACTATAGTCACTATCACTATCATCTGGAATATTGTCAAGTAGGTCTTTAGGAAAACATTATGTAATTCTATATCAGAATCATCACTAATATAGGATCCATATATTAGTCGTGTGTAGAAAATCTAAATTGATTTTTTTTTTTTGAATATTCTCTATTCGGAGGATAGAAACTGCGGTATCCGGATAATTATTTTTTCTCGGATATCCGGATATCATTTTCTTATCCGCAAATACTATCGCGATAAATAAAGAAATTAACCTTTATTTTATTTGTTTTTCAATGTTTATTTTGTAGATAATAAATCATATAAATACCTTTCTGTAGATAGTTTTTTAGTAAATAAATTTAGATTATTTTTTTTAACAAATGAAAATAGTAATATTATTACGAAATTTTATTAACAAGTAAATACAGTACAAAAGATTTTTTTAATAAGTAAATACGAAATTTTAAATAAATAAATATAAAGGTTTTTTTTAACAATAAATATAATGATTTTTTTTTAACAAATAAATGTGAAGATTCTTTTTTAACAAAAAGTAATTCTGGTTGCGGACTGGGCTGGGTTACAAATATGGATTTTTGTGCAGAAGAAGACCATTAAATTTAAAAAATTTATATAGATTTGTTAAATTTAAATCATAAATAATTTCTTCTATCTCCAATTGTAAAATACAAATGCAAATAAAATAAATAATTACATAAGCATAAATATGATATCTTTTATATTTTAACTGTTAATTTGAGCTTAATTACTTTCATCTATAATAAAAAAATAGTTTAATTGACATTCAATAGATCAAAAATCACATGCAAAAGTGATTACCTTTATAATTAATATCAAGTTTAGTAAAATCTATATTCAAGGAATCTATAAATATTAGTTGTTAGCATTGTAAAATAAATTTAAATTATTATATCATGTTATATATATTTACCTGAATATTCTATTAAATCATCGTTATTATCAGCATTTTTTGGTTCTGGAAGATTTTTAAAATCTAAAAGTCTACTTGTCCCTATAAAAAAATTGGATACATTTTTTATAAAGTTTTTATATGATTTTTTTCCTTAGAAATAACGTATCATAATAGGATACGGAAAAATGCACAATTCCGTATCACTAAAAATATGGTTTGGATACGGAATTTGCACGGAATTCATATGGAATTTACATATCACTGATTTTATCACGAAATTTATACGATTTGGTCACTGAATTTACTATTTGTATTACAGTTTACTAAAATTATATTTACATAAGGCCACACAAATTCGATTTTTCGGTTCACTTCACCCGGCCGGGTCACTTTTTCAAATTTCAATAAAAAAAAGTTTATATATAAAAGTTTATCATGTGATAGGGACGTAATTTTATTAGCGGGAAAGTTTATCACGTGGCTGAGAACTTCTGGAGCAAAAATAAATTCTTTAATTACCCTCCCCTTTAAAAGTCAACCAATCAGATGTCACGATTTATATATAAACTTTTTTTATTAATAAACAATAAACCCCGGGTCCCCAGGTCGATTTTAAATTTCAATGTTACGTGAACCGAAAAATTGAATTTGTGTGGCCTAAATCCAATTTTAC